GAAGAGATTCAGTCTGGATTAAAAGAATCCACTACCTTTCTCCTTTTGTTCCAAGTACCTTGCATTGACATATTTTATTTTATTTATTTTTTTAAGAGAGAATTCTAATATTTATTTTTTAGTTTTCGGCGGACACATCTTTGTTGGTATGTGGTGCTGAGGATCAAACCCGGGCCGCAAGCATGGCAGGCGAGCATGCTACCGCTTGAGCCACATCCCCAGCCCAGCATTGACATATTTTAAAAGAAATAAAGATCAGGGGTTGTAGTACATTCCCAGGAAGCTGAGGCAGGAGAATCTCAAATTCAAGGCCAGTCTGGGCAATTTAATGGAGGAACTACAAGCATGATTAGAATACCTACCGTTTTGAGAAACTTCTGTGAATTTCTCAAAATCATTCTCAAAATATTGTCCCCCAGAGAACTGTATCAGGATCAACTGGAAACTTGTTAGAAATTCAAATTCTTGGGCCATATCCTAAAGACTCTTCTGAATCGCTGGCTCTGGGGCAGGAACTTGCAATCTAGGACTGAGCAAGCCCTCCCAGAGATTCAGATGTACAGAAAGTTTATTGACCCCCCATAATACTGATTGGACTGACAAGAAATAAGAGGGGAGAGGTTCAACCCAAGCTGGCCCTGAAGACAACAATTAACAAAGTTAAAGCAGTCCAGGGACACTCAAAGCTCAGTAGATTAATTGATGAAAGCTGGAGATCTATATAGTTGAGTCAAGCCCTAACCCACCCCACCTTCAAAACCAAGTGGCGGATGGAAGTGGGACATGGCTCTGCCAAGAAGAGTGCCATTTTCAGAATAAAGCCCTTTATATGTTGGCAAAGACATAGGAATGAAGGTGAAACAAGAGCTCGATCTTCTGCCAACTCCCCATCTGGTATCTTCAAAAAGTCTGCCAGTTAACAAGCCCCCTTTCTCAGTCAAGGCTAATATCTTCAGGAGAAATGCTGGGAAAATGCATGTCAAACTACCAATGTTAATTAAGTGAATCTTTGCTAAGAAGGGACAACAGATAGCAGTAAAGTTAATTAGTAAGTTGAGCAAACAACACTTGACAATCAACAGGGAAAATAAATAATTCAAGGAATAGAAAATAATTTGAAAATTCTGATTGATATCCTGAGATGTAAGGATTCTACATCCATGAAAAAAGAGGAACAAGAAAGCAATCTTGAATATTTAAAACATATTCCTAAACTTAAAACAGAATAGAAAAACTGAATAATAATGTAATAGCTATGTCTAAAAAGTTAATTAGTGAGCTAGAAGATAACATCTGAAGAAATATCCCAGAACAGAGCAAAAAGAGCAGACCAAAAAAAGAAACAAACAAACAAAGTGGAGTGACAAAAGATCAAGAGGTCTCACATATATATGCAGAAATAAAGTAGATAAAAACAAGAAAATGAAAAAGTCATTTTTCAAATGGCCCTTAGTTCAAGAATGATATAATTCTTGAGATGAAATGACTGAGAGTGGGGTAAGCAGAATGAAGGCCAAATGTCCCACATACTAGACACATGTTGGTGAAATAGGATTCTAGGCATGAAAAAGAACATACTAAAAGTTTTTCATGACAGAAAAATAAGTTAATTATCAATAAATAAAGAAGAAAGATAATCAGACTGGTATATGATCTTAATCAGCAATACTGGACACTAGCAAACAATGGTGTTAGACCTTCAACATTCTGAAAGGAAATGATTATAAGCCTGAATCTCTAAACTAAAAAAAATTTTCAAATTCAGGATTCAAAATCTAATTGCTTGAAGATATGTTGCAGCAAGCCAGAAAATTAATCCTGGGTTGTAAGAAAAAGCAAGTAGGAAACTGTAAAACTCAGTTGTCCAATAAATATTTAAACAGAATGTTAACACACACCCACACCTCTCAAGATAATGGATTGATCTGAAATTAAAATCCCTCATGATTTCACTAGAAGAAAATGTCTGGGAGATGGGTATAAGTCATAGCAACTGGTAAACTCTAAACATTAGCAAAAAGGATGATCACTAAAGGAATAGCAAAAGGTTATTTCCAAAGCACAAGGAAACTGAGAAAAAACCAGCACCCAATCAAGCCAATTATACACTGAAATAAAAACAAGCAGCAGTTATTACAGCACAAGGCACCACAAGCACCAAAGTGCCTCTCAGCCCTGTATAAAGCTGTGCAAGAACTCCTGCTTGGGACCAGCACAAGTACTAGAAGATTTTGGAAATGGTGGAGCTGCAGACCAATATGAAGAACTATGACCCCTAGAAGGACAAATGCTCCTGAGTTACCAGATGGCTGACGTCCACTCCCTATCCCAAATTCTCCACCTATGTTCTGGGGCCCAGAAGCAAGTGATGAAATCTAGGCTGCAGACACCCCGACATGGATGATAACAAGGCTGTGGTCAAGAAGTATCATGCCTTTCTGGCCTCAGAGACTCTGATCAAGCAGATCCCATGAATCCTGGACCCAGAAGGCTGGCTGAGTCCAAAACATTGAGGCCATGACAGTGGATAAGGTGAAGTCCACCATCAAGTTCCAGATGAAGAAGTGCTCTGTCTGGTCATGGCTGTTGGTCATGTAAAGATGACAGAGAGTGAACTTGTGTATGATATCCACGCAACTTCGTAGTGTCACTGCTCAAGAAGAGTTGGCAGAACATCCAGGCTTTCCACGTCTGGAGAACTCACAGGGAAAGCCCCAGAGCCCGTACTGCGGTACATCCTAGTCAATCCTACTGCTACCAAATAAGCAAACGACCAAATAAAAAATAAATACAATCTATACAAAATAGAAAACAATAGGAATGATTTCTAAAATTATAGAAATAATTCAAGCATTTCAAGTATTTCAATTAATATAAATGGATTGAATTCCTCAGAGATTCTGACATTAAACTCTCCAAAAGCTGTTTTGATTGCATTAAAAAACATACTAACAACAAAGGAGAGTATTTCATAGTTATAAAGGCACAGCTCACCAACAGTCATGTAATACTTTCATATTTCAGAAATCAATTGGTTAAATGAGTGTTAAGTTAGGAATATACAAAGTTTAAAAAACTAATAAGCTAAATCCAAGATACCTTTTATCCAAAATCAGACAAAGTATCCTCTACTCTCTAAAACACAAAATATTTACAAAGATTGATCATCTATTCCATAGAGTCATACAGACTATATTCTATCCACTTGGAAATTTTAAGCGTATTTTAAAATAATTCCTAGGTTACATATAAAGGAAACTGAATCTGAAATTACTTCTTAGAAACAAACAACAGTCTACACAGCCAGTGTCAGCTGTAGCCAAGGCAGTAAGACTCAGGAGCATTTTCAGTCTTAAATGTATTTATTAGAAAACAAGAAATGTCGAGAATAAAATTGTCTATAGAATATACCTTAAAGCAGCACTTGTCAATCTCTCTAGAGAGAGAGTGGTTTGTGTAAGTAGTCCAGGAGCCTGTGAATTCATTTGTCAACTCTAAGCCTATGGAATTTGCAAGCTAATCAGGAATAAAACTACAGACTGCATCACAATTTAGAATATCAACTTGGTTTGTAACATTAGTAGGTCATCCTGATGAGATGAATTGGGTTGGGAATCACATCACTGAATATATAAAAATGAAACTCAAGCCAGAGGCAGTGGCATAGGTCTATAATCTCAGTGGCTTGGCAGGCTGAGTCAGGAGGATTGCAAGTTCAAAGCTAGCCTCAGCAACTTGGCAAGCCCCTAAACAACTTGGTGAGCTCCGTCTCGATACAAAAAATAAAACTGCTGTGGTGGTAGCTCAGTGGTAAATTGACCCTGGGTTAAATCCCCAATCCCCCAAAGAAAGTAAAACTGAGTTCTTGAAGTCAGGCAAGGCCTTACTCACTTTTATACCTTTAATGCCGGCATGGTGGGAGCACATAAGTAAGTAGTAAACAGTTTATAAGAACTGAATTAATATACCAGGCAGATAATTTTCCAAAATATATGGGTTTCATTCATTGGAGGAGCAGGAGGAGACAGATTAAAAGGTCTGCAGAGTGGTTACAAGACTGGGAAACAATGACTAAACATGAATCTTAATCTCAGGTCTGTAATGTCGCTAGTGTTACATGCCAGGCATTCCAGGATTCTGTGGAGAACCTCACGAATATAAAGGAGCCTGCCTGAGAGCCCCAGCATTCTTAGTTTTGTTTTGTTTTCCTGGCAGCAAGACTCATGAACTTCAATAAATTAATATTCAACTATAATAACAGAGAAGTTTTAAAAATCTAGCCTCTTTTAGCTATATGTCAAAAGGGTAGAATCCAGCTATAGCTAGCTCAAAGCTAGAACATATGATCAAATTCCCTATTATGAAAGACAAAAAGATCTCAGCTTTCACTTAGTTAAAAAAACTTAAAGGCTTCAATTACTACCTTCATTGGAAAATTTTTAATTAAACCTTAAAACTGAGATGATTATCACATTACCTCATAAACCAATCTTTCTGCTACAAAAAAACAGTTTGAACCTCATCAATTATTATACTTTATATATTTTGGGGGGGAGGGAAAGGAAGAGTCTGAATTTGAACTACTTTTTAAAAAATACTTCAATTAAATCTAAACATACTAAGAAGACATAGCTATACTGATATTTCAAACATCTAATATCTGAGCTATGTAATATCTGAAGCTAGTATAAATGAGGATAATTTAAATTTTAAGACCTTCTGATTATATATTAATTGGATATGGTTTATTTTTTAAAATCCCCCTTGTTACAGTTACAGAATAACTCTTCATCTTCTGCATTAAAAACAAAATGTATTTCTTTGCCTAATTTTGCTTAGCTGAATTAAGCATTTTAAAAATTTTCTTCTTTGCTATTAAACCAGTATCTTCAGTTCTTAACTGGACTAATAATAGTCTTCCTTGAAAGACATCAATACATAAAAATAAATACACATTAAAATTCTCCCAGCAAGTACTATATATAATCCAAACACACTCCTTCAAAAATTAACCACGTTATTTATTTGCACAGAATCAAAGGAAAGACTTGAAATTCCAACATAATATTCTATGAGGCTTATAGTTTACCAATACAGTTTTGGGAAAAAAAAAAATGGTTTTGGGTTTTCCTCCATTAACTTGAGGATGGTATTATTTTACACATTTTATATGCTTCAGTTATATGTGCTGAAACATTACACACCTATACATCTTTAGTTTTCATTAAGTCCAAAAAAGTCTTTTTTGATGATATATCGAACACACTGAAGAATCACGTTTCTTTCATGTCGAATGTCCGGAGCTAGAAGCTAAAAAAAACAATTAAAAAAAAGAAGATTATTAAGTGATAAAAAACATACTTGGGAAATACAATTTAAAATATTAAGGTGCCTTCCTCATATAAAAAATAAAGAATAATAGGTGTGATTATATTTACTGATTATTTTACTAAAAAACAATGCAAAAATATTGCTTTTCCTTTTAGCTTATAAATAGAATACCTGTTTTTTTTTTGTTGTTGTTGTTGTTTGTTTGTTTGTTTTTTAAATAGCACAGTTTCACATTTGGGATCCTTTCTAGGGATATCTACCAAAGGACAAGAAAACAGATACAAAAGTCTCCCAATTATTTCATCTAAAAATCAAGTCAAGAGGATTCCCTTAATAGGACACAGTGATCCCTGTCTTTGAGCACAGCTACTTGGGAGGCTGAGGCAGGAGGATTGTGTGAGCCCAGGAGTTCAGAGTCAACTCAGACAACATAGTGAGGCCCTGACTCTTGAAATCTGTAACGGTGTAGAAACTGTTAAGTACAATAATACTGAAAGTAGTGGCAGAAAAAACAACATTCATAGACTTTCATAACTTTCTATTTTTGTGCTCATTATAAATAAAAAAAAGTTAAGGGATTTATTTTCTATTTATTTTCTGATGGCATTAATATCTTCAGAAACATCACCCAGGGACCTTCAATGAAAAGATGATTTAACTTACCACTTATATGGCAAACATTTTAAAAGTGTGATTTATTATATAGAGAATAAAGAGTATATTGATGATTCATTTTAATAAGCAACTGTATCCACATCTAACACCTCACTGTATAGTCAAAGAACACTTGAGCTACACTTTTTTGATAACTCAAAAATGGACTTTTCACAGAACAACAATGGTTTCAAAACTCCACTAGAAAAAAATGTGGAATACTTTTATTATTCGTCTTAGCCAGGAAGATAGCTGATCTTTGTACAGCTTCATTTCCACTGCTTAGAATCAAGACACATCACATACTCTCTAAATCTGAAACAATTTTTGAGCGAATAATGCCAAAAGGAAAGCCAACAATGCACAAAATAAATGAAAGTAAATACAGTTCCCAAAGACAGGAAATGGGGATTTTCAGAAAACCTTAGGTCTTTTCTTCCCATTACTTTGTGTTTTCAAGAAGTATTCACATTAAATAAATAAAACCTTTTCTTCTTTTTCAGCCTGCCACTGTATATGGCTGTGCTTTCAATGAGAACTTTAGCCTTAATACATGTTTCTTCATCAACCAGTCAAATCTACATTCTTTGATTTTAAGCAGTTTTGAAAACTATAATTATTTCACATTTACTAACACCAGCTATATGCCAAATGCAGCTTTAGAATTAAGATACACAGACAAGTCTTCAACAACCATATGCCTCTGGTATCCTGAAAACATACACACACGAGCAACAAAACCATAGTGGTCCTACCTTAATGACATGAGGACACAAATGTTACAGTGCAAAGAAAAATCACTTACCATTTCCAGGAGATATGGATGGTGTGTTCTTGGCTGAAATAATTTTTCATAGTTGGGACAATGTTTTTTCCTCTTAGGGTTTGTCTTTTTAAAACCTTTCTTTCGGTTCTCATACTTGGCTCCTGAGAAATTTCTAACAGTTGCTTTAACATCTTGTCTTGGACTCTTGGGAGGACTGCTATGAGCAACCTGGTTTTCTGCCACAGCTTCTGTTTCAGTCTTGACAGGAGTTGCTAAGTGTGAGGAAAAACAAATACAAAAATTATTAAAAAAAAAAAAAAAACAGGTAAAACTTTCAAAATTAATGAAAACAGCCATAATATTGTCTACTTAGTAACTTAAAATTATGAGAGGTTTTGCAAGGCATTTACAATGTATTCCAGAACTTTTTGGGGGGGGAGCTATAACTGCCAAGAATTGAGGAGACTACTACAAACAGCCACAGAAAGTAATCCCTATGAAGGAAGTAAGACCAGATGGAAATTTGAATAAAATATCTATAGAAATAAAATCTATAACAACAGCACAAAGGAAAGGGAAGAAAATGCTAAGTATATTATTATATAATTCTTAAATTACATGTAAAGTGAATGATTAAAAAAGTACATGTGGTAAGTTAAAACTGTTAAAAAATAAATAAATAGGAATAGCTTTTAAACCAATAGTTTCACTGACCTAAAAATATAAAATTGATCCAAAACAAGACTGGGAAAAAACGGAACAAAAATCAGATGAGACAAACAGAAACAAACCATATCAGCAAATACTATATATGTATATAGTTTAAACACCTCACTTAGAAAGCAGAGATGGTCAGACTAGAACTGAATTGAAATGCAAGAATTCCTTTCCTTACATAGTTAAAACTGAAATTAAGCCTCAGTTTCCAAAGAACCATACAAAGCAAGGACTGCATATGACAATCACTAGAAAGCTGGAGTGGCTGTATCAACATCAGACAAAAAATAGACTTTAGAACAAGGAATATCATCAGCAATGAAGAACAGTCTTCATACATAAAGAACATAAAACAAAAACACCCAATAAGATTTTCAATATACATGCAGCAAAAACTCAGGGAACCAAAAGGAGAAATAGACAAATCAATTATTAAGGCCAGAGATGAGAGCACTCTGATCTATGTAATTGAAGAACAATTAGAAAATAAGTAGGAATACAGAAGACCTGAACACCCCTTTCCACTTTGTCAACTCAAATTGACAAAGAATACTCAACCTCAACACATATTCATGTGAAATCAAATGAGCATTCACCTTGTATTGGACCATAAAGACAAGTCTCAGTAAATTTTAAAAAGTGAAAGCAGACAAGAGTTACATTTTCTGACCATAACAAAATTAAAATGAGATCATTAATGGGGAACTAGCTAGAAAACCTTAAATATTTAGCAACTAAACATACTTCTAAATAATTGTGACATTAAGTATACACTTGGTCTTTCTCTAGTTTCCTGTCATACATCTCTTAAAATTCTTGGAATCTCCAAAGTGATAACTGTAGTTTTGTATGCTAGTAAGTTCAGTGATGGCTGGTAGTCTCTAGGTAGCTTCATGATGAGGTGCCACTCACTGGAAGGAACAATAAGGTTAGAATTTTGCCCATCTCCCAACTTCCAGGAAAGAAAAAGAGGCCGAAGGTTAAACTGATCACCAGTGGTCAATGATTTAATTAGCCATGCCTGTACAGCTCAGCCTCAATAAAAACCCAAAAGGACAGAGTTTGGAGAGATTCTAGATAATCAAACACTTGGAAGTTCCTGAAGATTGTTAAGTACGGAGAGGGCATGGAAGCTCTGCAACTCTTCCCCTGTATCTTATCCTATAGATATGTCCACTGATATTCTTTATAATATCTTTTATAATAAAATAAATCAGTAAATTTAAATATTTCCTTGAGTTCTGTGAGCTGCTTACCAACTTAATCAAATGCAAGGAATGGGTATGTGGGAATGCTGATTTATAGCCAGTCAGCCAGAAGCAGAGGTAAAACAACTCAGGACTTGCAACTTGCATCTGGTGGGGGTGAGGAGACGCCTCAGAGATTGAGCCCTCGACCTCTGAGATCTGACACCACCTCCAGAGAGTGTCAGAACTAAATTAGAGGAAACCCAGTCCACTATTGGAGACATTCAAACAAATGAGAAACTAAGACAAATCAAAAACCAGAAATAAATCAAAAATGACAGGGAATACAAATCATATCTCAATAATAACCTTGAATATTAACGGCTTAAACTCATCAATCAAAAGACTTAGACTGGCAGATTGGATTAAAAAGCAAGACCCAACAATATGCTGTCTTCAAGAGACTCACCTCATGGGCAAAGACATCCATAGGCTGAAGGTGAAAGGATGAGAAAAAACTTATCACTCATATGGATTGCGTAAACAAGCAAGGGTTTCCATTCTCATTTCAGATAAAGTAGACTCCAAACCAAAGTTAGTCAGAAGAGAGAAAAGACATTTCATACTTCTTAAGGGAAGTAATTATAAATATTTATGCCACAAACAATGGAATATCTATGTACATCAAACAAACCCTTCTCAATTTCAAGAGTCAAATAGACCACAATACAATAAACTGGGTGACTTTAACATACCTCTCTCACTATTGGACAGATCTTCCAAACAAAAACTAAATAAAGAAACTATAGAACTAAATAATACAATCAATAATTTAGACACATATAGAATATTTCATCCATCAATGAGCAACACATGACTCCTTTTCTAAAACAGACCATATCTCATGCCACAAAGCAACTCTTAGTAAATACAAAAAAACAGAGATAATACCCTCCATTCTATCAGACCACAATGGAATGAAATTAGAATGAATTAGAAATCAACAATAAAATAAAAATAGAAGCTACTCTAACAAATAAAAGACTAAATAATACACAATTGAATGACGAATGGATAGTAAAAGAAATCAAGGATGAAACAAAAAAATTCTTAGAGGTAAATGAGAACACTGATAAAACATATTAAAATCTCTGGGACACTATGAAGGCAGTACTAAGAGGAAAGTTTACTGCACTGAGTGCATTCATTTAAAGAATAAAAAGTCAACAAATAAATAACTTAACACTATATCTCAAAGCCCTAGAAAAAGAAGAACAAATCAATCCCAAAAGCAGAAGAGAGGAAATAATTAAAATCAGAGATGAAACTGAAACAAAAGAAACAATTGAAAAATTTGACAAAATGAAAAGTTGGTTCTTTAAAACAGATAAACCCCTGGCCATGCTAATGAAGAGAAAAAGAGAGAAAACTCAAATTACTAAAATACAAGAAGAAGAAGGAAATATCACAATAGATACGTCTGAAATACAGAAGATAATTAGAAACTATTTTGAAAATTTATACTGTAATAAAATGGAAAACATCAAAGACATCGACAAATTTCTAGAGACATATGACCTACCCAAACTGAATGAGGTCACACATGATTTAAACAGATCAATTTCAAGTAATGAAATAGAAAACAGCATCAAAACCTACCAACCAAAAAAAGCCCAGGACCAGATGGATTCTTAGCCAAGTTCTACAAGACTTTCAAAGAAGAATTAACACAAATACTCCTCAAAGTATTCCATGAAGTAGAAAAGAAGGAAACTCTTCCAAACATTTTATGAGGCTAATATCACCCTGCTACCAAAACCAGATAAAGACACATCAAGGAAAGAAAACTTCAGACCAATATCCCTAATGAACACGAATGCAAAAATTCTCAATTAAATTCTGGCAAATCGCATACAAAAACATATTAAAAAGATAGCGCACCACAATCAAGTGGGATTCATCCCAAGGATGCAAGATTGGTTCAACATCCGGAAATCAATAAATGTAATTCATCATAATAATAGACTTAAAAACAAGAATCATATGATCATCTCAATACATGCAGAAAAAAGTATTTGACAAAAAACAGCACACCTTCATGTTCAAAACACTAGAAAAACTAGGGATAGTAGGAACATTCCTGAACATTGTAAAGAGATATATATGTTAAACCCAAGGCCAGCATCATTCTAAATGGAAAAAAAATTGAAAGCATTTCCACTAAAAACTGGAAGACAAGGATGTCCTCTTTCACCACTTTTATTCCACATCATCCTTGAAAATCTAGCCATAGCAATTAGACAAAAAAAAGAAATTAAAGGGATACAAAGAGGTAAAGAAGAACTCAAAATATCACTATCTGCTGATGACATGATTCTATATCTAGAAGATACATAAAATTCCACCAGAAAACTTCTAGAACTAATAAATGAACTCAGAAATGTAGCAGCATATAAAATCAACACCCATAAATCAAACACATTCCTATATATCAGCGATGAATCCACTGAAAGAGAAATTAGGAAAACTACTCCATTCACAGTAGCCTCAAAAAAAAAAAAAAAAAACCCTGGGAATTAATCTAACGAAAGAGGTGAAAGACCTCTACAATGAAAACTACACAACACTAAAGAAAGAAATTGAATAAAACCTGAAGATGAAAAGATTCCCCATGCTCCTGGATAGGCAGAATTAATATTGTCAAAATGCCCATACTACCAAAAGCGTTATACAGATTTAATGAAATTCCTATTAAAATCCCAATGACATTCTTCATAGAAATAGAAAAAGCAATCAAGATACTTATTTGGAAAAATAAGATCCAGAACAGCTAAAGCAATCCTTAGCAAGAAAAGTGAAGCAGGAGGCATCACAATACCAGACCTTAAACTATACTACCGAGCTATAGTAATGGCATGGTATTGGCACCAAAATAGACTTTTAAACCAATGGCGCAGAATAGAGGACACATAGACAAATCCACATAAATACGGCTATCTTATACTAGACAAGGGTGCCAAAAACATTCACTGGAGAAAAGATAGCCTATTCAACAAATGGTGCTGGCAAAACTGGAAACCCTTATGTAGCAAAATGAGATTAAACCTCTAACTCTCACCCTGCACAAAAATCAACTCAAAGTGGATCAAAGACTTAGGCACTAGAACAGAGACCCTGTGCCTAACAGAAGAAAAAATAGGTCCCAATCCTCACTATGTTGGCTTAGTATCCGACTTCCTTAACAAAACTCCTAAAGTGCAAGAAGTAAAATCAAGTATCAATAAATGGGACGGATTCAAATTAAAAGCTTCTTCTCAGCAAAGAAAACAATAACATGAGGAGGCAGCCTACAGATTGGGAGAAAATCTTACCACATGCATTTCCAATAAAGCATTGATCTCTAGGCTATATAAAGAACTCCAAAAACTTAACACCAAAAAACCAAAAACCCAATCAATAATGGGCTAAGGAACTGAACTGACACTTCACAGAATAAGAAATACAATTGATAAATGAATATATAAAAAGGTGTTCAACATTTCTAGCGATTAGAGAAATGCAAATCAAAACTATTCTAAGATTTCATCTTACTCCTGTCAGAATGTCAATCATCAAGAATACAGCAACAATAAATGTTGGCGAGGATGTAGTAAAAAAGATACACTCATACATTGCTGGTGAGACTGAAAATTAGTGCAACCAATCTGGAAAGCAGTATGGAGATTCCTTAGAAAACTGGGAATGGAACCACTATTTGACCCAGCTATCCCACTCCTTGGTTTATACCCAAAGGACTTAAAATCAGCACACTATAGTGACGCAGCCACAACGTTTATAGCAGCTCAATTCACAATAGCTAGACTATGGAACCAACCTAGGTGTCCCTCAATAGATGAATGAAAAAGAATATATACTCAATGGAATATTACTCAGATTTAAGGAAGAGTGAAATTATGGCATTTGTCAGTAAATGGTTGGAGGTGGAGAATATCATGCTAAGCGAAATAAGTCAATCCCACAAAACCAAAGGCCAAATGTTTTCTCTAATATGTGAATGCTAGTTCACAATAAAGTCAGGGGTGTGTGTGTGGCACTAGGGAAGAATAGCATTACCTTAGATTAGGTAGAAGGAAGTGATGGGGGGCATATGGGTATAGAAAAGATAGTAGAATGAAACAGACATGACTGTATGTATATTTGTGACTACATGACCAATATAATTCTGCAACATGTACACTCAGAAAAATGAAATTATATCCCATGTACGCATGATATATCAAAGTGCATAAATGTATTCTACTGTCACGTATACTAATTAAAAAATTTAAAAAATAAAATAACAAAAACATTTGTAAAACAAAACAAATTAGCAAATCAAATCCCTCAATGTATTAAAATGGCAATACACCATAAGCAAATATATTTTATCAAAGAAATGCAAGTTCATTTGATATTTGAAAAATCACTCACTATATTTCACCATATTTTGAGAATAATGAAGATAAAGCATATAAACAGCTAAAAATTCACAATTTTTTTTAGATAGGGATCTCCACCCCTCCTCCCAAATGGTTATTCTTTTTTTTTAATATACTTTTAGTGTTGATGGATCTTTATTTTATTCATTTATTTATATGCGGTGCTGAGAATTGAACGCAGTTCTTCATATATGTGAGGCAAGCACTCTACCCACTGAGCCACAACCCCAGCCCCAAATGGTTATTCTGTGTATTTATTTACCATGAATCAAAGTGATGTGATGTGAAGAGTTCTATCCTAGAAGTTGAGAAACTGAGTTCATTGCTTAGATAAAAGTTGGGGAGTCTAATCATATTTCTTAAAACCCTCCAAACTCAAATATTACATAGGACTGAATGCAGCAATTACATCAAAGAAAGTATAGGGTAAATGTTGAAAGTACAGACTCTGGTGCCAGACTGTTAGGTTCAAGTCTTGTTCAAACACTTACTAGCTTCGTAACCTTGGAGTAAACTACTTACCTCTACCTAAATTTCCTCGTTTGTACAATGGAGATAAATGATGGCACCTACTTCATGAGCTTGTTGCAATAAGTGAGTAAAGCACATAAAACAGTGCCTGGCACCCTGTATGCACTATATGAAAATCTGCTGCGATACCTGTGATAATGTTTCTGCAAAGTAATGAGGAAAATAAGATAAATACAGCTATAAAAGAATAGAGCTAAGAATCCCTAAAGTAGTTTGTAGGCTGAAAACTGTAGAAATAATAATTAAAAGGCAAGAAGAAAATCCAGTGCACCACTTCCTATCATTTCCTTTCCTCTTCAAGTGTTAATCACTTGACCTAAGAACGAAAATGTCAAATGAATCAGGGCTTGTATTGTCAACGATCTGCTAAAGAATGAGGAACTGGGACATTTGTATTTTTCTCTTTCTTGAGATATACATTTCCTAGCTAAGTAGTGCTCTTCAATTCAAATAAAAGTTAAACATAGCATTTAGCTCTTTCAAACTGAAGTCACTATTTGCTCTGTGGTCTTTGGACTTAGTTTTGAGCTTGGAGGTCTCCTCATCAATAACTGAACCAGTTTAAAGAAACAGTTTTTAGGGAGTTGCAAACTCCAGGAGGATAGCAAACCAACCCATTTGGAAATAATACTCATGGAAATTTTCTTTCTTATTTATGTAACAATGATTCTGGCAGCCCCAGATCTGCACATACCTCCTCTTCCTTTGCTTCAGTCTTGCTTAGGGACCCTTTCCTGCTTACCCCCTCATACACCACAGAATTAAAACTGAAAGCTAGAGATTTGCTACTGACTGGATGGCTTAATAAAACGATTTGAACTATATAAAATAATTCTTAAGACTTAGAAATACACCACAAAGGCTTTTTCCTTAAAGCAGAACATTTAAAATAATTAGTCAAAATTAATTCATACAAAATCAAATATATATTTTATTAGGTAATATCCTCTGTTATCTACAAAAGGAAAGGTCAAGTTACTATTCAGGAAGATAGCCACGTGGAGAAGGATATGAAGGAAGCAATATAGTTGGTTTCTTTAAGATTTTTTAAGTCCCTATACTTAAATTTTACACCAGCTCCACCACATACTAATGTAGCAAATATATCCTAAGTTTGAGGTATAAAATGAAGGTGTGAGAGCACACAGATCCCTTCCAGCTTCCTTTCTTTCTTCCAATTTTAAAATGGTGACAGTCTCAAAATGAAGACATAAATATAAAAGTATCAGATGTTTCATCTTAAGATTGAGAAAAGAAAGCATCAGCTCACCCTGTTTTTATGGGATTCAGTAATTTGGAAATAGCTTGCTTTCTTATCGCCTGTCATAAATACAACTGAGAGGTGGGAAATATAATATGTGTTTAAAGAACAACTCCACCTTCATATCAGTATATTGGAAACAAGAGTAAGAAATCAATATTGTGTTTCTTAAAATTAAAAATTAGAAGAGGCAACCATCTGTTAAGGAATACTCTGATAAAGCCAAAGTAGTTTATATTTCAAAATTTGAGTAGCTTTTAACAAGCTACCAGAATAAGCTATAGCCCATTAAAAAGAAGAAAAAATTCCCATGTTACAGAGATATAAACATCATGTTTCTTACTAAAGCCCAACTCTTTCTTAGTCAACATCCTCCAAACACACACACACACACACACACACACACACACACACACACACACTGATTGTCTTTAGTCAACAAAAATGTTGCCATCTATATCCCTTGACATTCAACTCTTCATTCTGTTAACAACACTTTCAGACCCTGTGTTCTTATCCTCGGTATAGCAACTACTTTGATTACACACCTTCTCCTGAGATACATACACAAGAATTCTCTCACAGTTGGTAGAGTCTTAATAAAATTACTATGCAGATACAGGTTTCCACAATTGCAGGACAAAGACTTATTCACTCAACATATTCTAGGTTATTGATATAAACATTGGATTAAAATTTACCAAACTATATTACATCTATAACCTACTCACAGCTCTTGTATGTGGCCCTAAAACAGATGCTACAGGAGATTAAATTGGTTTATCATAATAAAATACAAAATAAGGGCCCACATACTATCATTTGCGACATTACCTTTAAAAGTAAGTCACGTATCCTGAACATCACTGACCTCTCAGAAGACTCTTGAAGGAATTCCATTTCTTCCAACCTTTAAATAACACAGGCTAATATGCAACCACAAGTACAGAGTTCCTGTGTTTCCAAATAAGATAATTTATGTAAATGTGCTTGTAAAGAGTAATATCCTCTACACATCTAAATTTTTCCATCATCCTCTTTATCATCAAGGGCCTCTCTCCATCTACCAAAGGTGCTATGAACATATTGTGACAAGGGTTCTTGATAGCAAAGAATAAATTCACTTTCTTTTTGCTATTTCTTTTATTTCATTATTTCATTTTCTCTTTTCTTTCCTTCTTTCATTATATTATAATCACTTTTGCTTTTTTCTTCCAGTAGCAATCCATTTTTTCTTCCAGTAGCAATCCATTTCCCTATTTCCAACTTTATCCCATGTTAACTTCACTTCTGAATCAAAGGAAAAAGGAACTTGAAGATCAAATAAAGAATATGAATCTTGGATGCTATTAATGCACAGTGTGCACCAAAGGCAAAGGGCAACAAAATAAAACAACTTTGCTGTAGCAACAGAGGCCATGACTTACCGTCTGGTTCACTCTCTGACCCTGAGAGACTGCCATAGCTGCTCATTAGTGAACACAAAGCTGGTGTGACTTCCTTAGGTACAACTGTATGCTGTGTTTTCTCCTCCTTATCAGACTCTGAAATAAAAGGGGAAAGAACAAAGATTCAAACAGTGTATCTCCAAATATCCACCACTATAAAAAAAAGAAAGCTGTCTTCCAGTCTTTCATGCTAGTAAAAACAAAGGAATTTCTGCTGGGCACGGTGGCACATGCCTGATCCCAGCAGCTCGGGAGGCTGAAGCAGAAGGATGGCGCATTCAAAGCTAGCCTCAGCAACTTAGAAGGCCTTAAGCAACTCAGCAAGACAAATTGTAGTATTTCCTTCAAAGACTTAAAGAAAGCCCACCCTCCTTTAATCCTTATGCAACATCCTACGACTTTCACTATAGTTACAGGTGATTAAACCAAAACTCAAATGGGCTGGGGATGTGGCACAGTGGTTAAGTGCCCCTGGGTCCAATCCTGGGTACCAAAATGAAAACAAACAAACAAACAAAAAACAATTTTCTGATCATTTCTTTAATCTTCCCAAAACACAAATTGCAGGAGTATTCTTAGTTTAAATCTTGACCAAAGAAGTTATGTGCTACAGGGAAGGAGAAGAATGAATGGAAGCTGTAAACAACTCAGTTAACTTACTGTGTTTCACAGGTTATGGAATCTAGGCCTGCCCTAAATTAACTTAATTACACAGGTTTTACTATTAATTTACAGGTAGTGGGAAGGCCAAAATTGATTTAACTTTACTGGATGAGGATCATTAACTCTGAAAATTCAATTTAGGAATAAAAAAATATATAAAAATATCCACCCCCTTTTGTTGTTTTCAAGACTAGTTTTTAGGACCCAAATAATATTTAAACCATTCTAGGCTTAGTGAAAGAGTTTTACTGAAATGAACCTACTCCAAAGATTTTATTATTTAGAACTTCTAAGAATTTATGTCAATAGGCCAACCATGAGAATTTAGCAAACACTAAAGAGCCTGCCAAAGGTAAAGTGTTTGATCAGAGCCCAGCAATCCTAGTTGTAGCCCCAGGACACCACCCATTACATTTATTTTTGGCAGCTCTAAAAAACACATCAACAACCAATAAAAATAAAGCCTGACTAAAGACAATAAGTAGCTTGTCCATTTAATGAACCAGCTCAACCTACAACCAATATGAAATGTCTCAAGAGGAACACTTAATGTTCACTAAGACAGTCCAAGGGAAACTAAAATATGCCACTAGGAAGTGTCAGTAACTTTTCATGTGAATGTTGACCAAGCACCTTCTGCTAAAGATATATCCATCCTCCTATGCCACCCACAATGCCAGCACCACATCCCCTAATACTGTTCCTTATTTTAAGCTAGATTATTACCTTTTCTCTTGGATGAATAAAGGAAAACATGCAATTTATATGAGCAGAAATCTACCACAATATTAGTACAAAGACTATTCATCCACTGTCTGAACAACCAAAGACAAAATAGTAGCATTTCCTTCAAAGACTTAAAGAAAGCCCACTCTCCTTTAATCCTTATGCAGCATCCTACGACTTTCACTATAGTTACAGGTGATTAAGCCAAAACTCAAAAGAATTCAACTAAATTTCTTTCAAGTAACTTACTATAAAATGGTTGGGTCAATGTAAAATCTAGGCTACCTCCCCAATTCTCAAACTAATGAACTATAATGTCTCCTATAGATTATCATTATTATTAAAATGAAGCCCCTGTATCAAAATGTATTAATGGCCAACAATAATGTTAATGACTTTTTGTCACAGTTCCATTGCTCCCCCCCCACTTTTTTTATGGCAAAACTCTAAACAGCTACTTGATAAAATTCACCACAGAAATTTGGGTCTAAAATTTCCTTCAGTCCACTACTCCAATCTGTTTCTGAGGACCACCACACCAGAGAAACTTTTTCTTCTTCTGAGTTCACCTGGGTCCTCTGTGTTTCCAAATCTAAAGGTAATTTCTTGGTTCTCCTCTTATTTAACTTACCAACAGTATGTAATCATGTTCTGTTTTTTAAAATCTCATGGCTTCCAGAACCTTTTCACTTAGCTGTCTTTTCCCAGTCTCCCTTCTGAATTCTCCTCACTTACCAACTTCCAAAATTATGAAGTGACCCTGGGTCTAATTCTGAGAGACCTTTCTCTTTGTGCCTCCCCTTCCCTAGATGATCTGATGTTCCCTAAAATCTTAACATTATCTATATGCTTGTGAATCACAAATTTGTACCTTCAACCTTCAGTTTTCCCTTAACTCCAGAATAATACTAACTGCTCATCAAGCATCTTTACTTAGATGTCAATTATCTCAACTGTGTCCAAAATTAAACACTTGATTTCCACTTGGCACATGCCCTACAGTATCTCCCCCTTGATAAATATCAACTGTTTCTTCTTAGGGTTAAGCCCAAAATGTAGCAATTATCCATGAATCTTCTTTCTTTCTCATACCTCATCTATCCAATTAACAACTGCCAACAGTTATTTCAAAAACAAATCCAGCATCATACTTGTTTCTCACTACTTCCATTACAACCCAAGGCAACATTGCTTGCATGGAGAATTCTAACAGCCTCCTAGATCTTGACAGGACTCTGCCCAATTCTCTTCATAAAAAGTCTATTCTCTACCAAAAACATAGATCATATGACCTCTCTGCTCGACCTGGGAATAAAATCCCAAGACCTCCCTGGGCCTACACAGCTGGCCTGACTAGACTGGACCTTGCACTTGTCTTGTAACAAACCCACTTTCTTCCTGGCTTACACCACTGCCACCTGGCTGCTACCTCAGCATGCAAGGCAGCTCTCCCTGGGGTATGTGCACTTGCTGCTCCCTCTGCTGGGACTGCTGTAAGTATGCAGCACTCGGATGTCTTTTTCATGTCACCTCCAGAGTGCCTTCACTGATCACGCCACAGAAAACAGCAGAACTCCTCCAAACACCATTTTCCTATCCTTTACTCAGCTTCATGATGCTTATATCCACCCAACATATTGTGAGTTTGTTTACTGACTCTCCTTATTATGGTTTGAATGTGAGGTACCCCCCAAAAACTCACGTGTGAGACAATGCAAGAAGGTCTGGAGGAGAAATGATTGGGTCATGACAGCCTTAACCCAACCGGTGAAATAATCATCTGATGGGATTAAATGAGTGGTGAGTAGAGGTAGGTAGGGTGTGGCTGGAAGAGGTGGGTCCCCAGGGGCATGCCTTTTGGGTATATATTTTGTATCTGGCTAGTGGAGTCCCTCTCAGCTACTAATCATCATATGAGCTGCTTCCTTTTGCCACACTCTTCTGCCACGATGTCGTGCCTTACCTCCAGCCCCAAGGAATGGAGCCAGCTGTCTGTGAACTAAGACCTCTGAAACCATGAGCCTCCAAATAAACTTTTCCTCTTCTAAAAGTGTTCTTGTCAGGTCTTTTAGTCAGAGCAATGAAAAAGCTGACTAAAACACTACCCAAACCAGAAGGCAGCTATAAGACAGAAGGGGTTTTGCTGTATTCTCAGAGCCAAGAACAATATGTAAGTATTCAATAAATATCTGAAGAACAAACTATTGCATGAATTAGACAAGGTTAATTAGCACAGAATCAGAGTGCTAGTAAGAGGTTGGGCCAGGATAGAAAACTAGATTTGCATGGATCTAAAGTGTATAACATGATTCCATTTTTATTTTTAAAAAATCATATAAATGGGCACAGGAGGTGGCTGGGTGAGGCTCGGTGGTAAAGCGCTTGCCTCCCACGTGTGAGGCACTGGGTTTGATCCTCAGCACCACATAAAACTAAATCAACAAAATAAAGATGCTGCATCCATGTACAACTAAAAAATATTTTTTTAAAAAATGGGCACAGGAAAAACATTGGAAGGATACACAAAAATATGTGAGCAGTAGTTGAATTTTTAAGTTAAGAGAGCAGTTTTTAAAAATATTTTATGCTTTTAATATTCCCACACCTTCTCTATTACTTTTGTAGTGGGAAAAAAATAAAGAATGAAAAATAAAGAGAAACAGTGTTCTTCATAATTCAGTTCATAAACACAGGCAAGGCTTTAATTGGCCCATGGAGTCTTTTGCCCTCCTCCCTTTGGTTTTTAACTTTCCATTTGAAACAATTTTGGAACTATCCAAGTATTACAAAGCACAGGAGTTTCCTTCCATATACCTCTCACTCAACTTCCCTAATGTTATCATCTCATATAACAAAAGACACTTATCATAGCCAACAAATGAACACCAGTGCCATCTTACTACCTAAGCTAAAGACCGTACTGTCATTTCCTCAGTTTTTCCATTAATGTCCTTTTCTAGTGCTAGGATCCAATCTATCATTCCAGACTGAACTTAGCTATCATGACTCCTTAGTCTTCTCCAAATATGTGATAGTGTCTTAATCTTTTCTTGTCTACCAGGAACATTTTTGAAGACTGTTGGATCAGATAACAGCAGAAAGTCCCTCAGTTTGGGTGTGTCTGACATTACTGATGATTAGATTGAGGCTAGGGATTTTGGGGAAGAATAATACAGGAGATGAAGCCATCTCATCACAACATAGCCCATGATATCAATATGACTTACCACTGGTGATGTTCACCTTGATAACTTGGTGCTCTGCCTGATATCTCTACTTTTATAAAGTTACTATTTTTCTCTTTCATTATTTACTCCCTGAAATGAGTTCATAAATTTATTCTTATTATTCTCAGCCCAACATTCCCTTTTGCTAAGATCCTTTATCATCCTAACACTGTCAATAAACTGGTTGTTCCCACATTTCCTGCCATCTATGAATTCAATAATTTGTCATGTGATTATCATGAAAGCAACTGTCATCTGAGCTGAACAGAGATTGGAATCAAACCTATAACGAAACATCATTCCACTCATTAATCATCTTTTGGAACTCCTCTTCAGTAGGAAGCATATGCAATTAAATACAAGCCTCACAATGTTACTGGAGGGGAAGGTCATACAGAATTTTTACATATACATTTTCATTTTTCTGAAGGGAAAAACAGAAGCTAAGGAGCTAAGGGATATCTGTGTGATAGCAATATTTGGGGATGTTCAATTTTTGCCTTTAAAGCAAGAGTCAACTTGTCCTATTAGTTATACAAGGAATTTAAGGATAAACCATAAACATATGAAAATATATTCTATACTTTGAAGAAAAATACTATTATGCAAATACAATGAATTAATGTCATTTGCCCATAGGGACCATGATTGTGCTCAGTAGTATAAATAAATACTGGCTTCCATAGAATTACTGATTTATAAGCAAGAGGAAAAAAAAAAAAAAAAAAACATAAAAAAGGCCAAATTTCCATCTAGGAAAACAAAAAAAAATTTTAAAAAAAAAAAAAAAACAAAAAACAACTCCCAAGATTACAGCATACTTTGGAAATTACCCAACAAATCTTTCTCCCATAGCCTGCCTGCCCCATGAATTCCGGCCCAAGACTCAGAAAAGATGTTCTGAAATGAGACTTTTCCACAAGAGACTTCTCTTAAAAACAAACAAAAAAAAGCATCTTTCTACATTTTTATGTATGTGTTATCCAGCTTTCCACAAAAGGGGCTATGAGTAACCAACTTCAACATCATTGTCTGTATGCTTATAAACACATTATTTTCCTATTAACTTACCAGAATCGCTATTTATCAAAACACCAAGAGGATCTGCCTTTGCCTCAGGTGGACCTTCAGGCTTTGAACCAGGGAGGTTTTCTGATCCAGGGACACCGCTCTGTTTGACATCATCATTTTTCCATTTGTGTTGTCTACCAGGACTTCTGATCTTGGCCATCTGTGAATTTCTGGACATCCCCTTCATCTTGCTGGAATAAGAAAAATGCAATTCTTGGTATAAAAGTCACTAACCTTTCAAGGAAAAGTTGAAAAAGACTACTGAATGAAAAAAAAAAAAAACAAAAAACCCAGATGTTAAACCAATCATTTGTTGCCTAGTACATTAAATAGACCAAAACAAACAAAAGTCAGTGGTTCCCAAAGACAGAGAGGTGTTAGTAGAACTTTAAAAGGATAACACTCTACAATACACCATATTTTATTCATCCTCAGCCACACATTACCACCAATAAATATTTTTGCCCCCTGAAATTGAGCTGTGCTGTGCAATCACTGACAAATCACAATTCTACAGCCATCTTAAATAAAGTGCTCTTCAATCACACAACTACCTCTTTTACAAAGAAAACAAGTACTTAGGAGGCATTTTCTAATTTAAGTCAATTTAAGAACAACAACAAAAATTCATTAATAATAAATTCTCTATAAACAATAATCAAAGTGTCTTCTGGTAGAACTGAATTTCCTCAAGGACATGCATGCTATTCCAATTTGCCATTGTTTGGGCAAAACTCCTTTTTTTTTTTTTCTTTTTTTCATTAACAATGAGGTGACAGAATTAGAAATTGGGTCCAAATTTCAATTTTGTCTGTGTTCTTTGGATATATTAATATCCCTGAGCCTGTTCACTCCTTCACTTACAGAATGGAAATCAGAGACATGGAGAGAATTAAGATAATATAAAGTACTTCACTTAGAGCAAGGTAACATCTTGAGCCCTTAATAAACTATAGTTATTACTATAACACTTTCTGAATCATTTGTTGAACCAATATATTCAGTTTACATCTGCCATCCAAGGGCTCAAAATCCTTTCAGGGTCACTATAACTCTTACAGAATATCATTCCAAAACTTCATATACATATACTCCAAATTTTGCAGAAAGCCAAAATTTATCATGAACCAATTTCCAAGACCCATCCACAAGGATCTAAGAACTCAACAGCTTCATTGCAGGCAAAACAGGCACAGTTTTACTGGTTTGCCTCTGGTATACTCTGTCTCTGGCCCCACGAGGACAATGAAAAAATGCCATTTTCCTTGGGCTCCCACTCAGATACCTTCCCTGCATCCAGTTCCTATTGCATCTGACCATAGCTGCTTTTTAAATATTTATTTTTAAAGTATTCACTAATATGTAATGAGTTAGGATGATCCTTAACTGATAAGATCAATAAGATTTTATTTAAAAACTAGTATATCTGGTATCTGTACTCTACCCCTCATTTGAGAATGTAGTTCTACCACCTTACTTTTGACAAGCCTTTGAAAGGAAAAGTTCATTTAATCAATACTTTAAAACAGTTACAAAAGGTATAAGTAAAAATACAGATGTCTATAAAATGGACTCAGGAATAATTTTAACTAAAAAGCTAATATAGATGAAAATGGAGCATTAAAAAAAGCTCAATCAAAAAAAGCAAGGAAGTAACAATATGACAAATTAAAAAATAAAACAAGAGAAACAAATAGAATGATGGTGATGAAAAACTACATTAGCAATTACACTTTACATATACTTACATTTATATATATTTATATATATATTTATACATATACATAAACGTACATATACGTATATACGTACATATGTATAAACTGAGGACTATTTAAAGACAAACGTTTTCAGTTTAATTTTTTTTTGCGGGGGGTGCCAGGGATCAAATTCAAGACCTCACACATGCTACGTAAGCGCTCTTAAAACTGAGATACACCCCCTACCTTCAGAATGGATTATTTAAAAGGAAAAAAAAAAGTTAAAAAAATCCAAATTATATATTATGTAAGAAATACACTTTAAACATGACACAAAACATTTAAAAAGCAACAGGCTTTTGAAAACACTATCCTCTCTCCACTGCATTATATTGCCATCTTTATCATAAGTCAGGTGATTGTTTATCAATGGATCTGTTTATGATCCTTATTCTGTTCTATGTATCTGCCTATATTTGGCAGGTAAATGGATGGAGTTAGAGAAGATAATACTAAGTTAGCCAATCTCAAAAAGACAAATGTACAATGTTTTCTTTGATATAAGGAGGCTGATTCATAGTGGGATAGGGAGCGGGAGCATGGAGGAAAAGACGAACTCTAGGTAGGGCAGAGAGGTTGGAGGGGGAGGGTGGGGGCAGGGGGTTATAAATGATGGTGGAATGTGATGATCATTATTATCCAAAGTACATGTATGAAGATACTAATTGGTGTGAATATACTTTGTATACAACCAGAGATATGAAAAATTGTGCTCTATATGTGTAATTAGAATTGTAATGCATTCCATTGTCACATATAAATAATAAAAGAATAGATGTTAGATTTTACCATGTATTTTTCCTTATGCATTAATCTAATATCATTTTACTCCTTCATTATGTTCATGTGTTAAATAACGTTTTATTTTCAGTTATCAGACTCCTAGAATAAATCTCATTTGGTCATGATGTATGCCCTTTTTTCATTTGGCTAGATTTGATTTGCTAAGCCCTTGTTTAAGACTTTTGTGTATTTACTCTATATATATGCTTCTTATTTTCCATTATTATAATGTCCTCAAGATTATATATATTGGACTCTTGTTCTTTTTTGTTTTTGTTTTTTGTGGGGCTAGGAATCAAACCCAGAGCACTCTGTCACTGAACTACACCCTCACCCCTATATTGGACTCTTAAAATGAAATGCTGAGTTTTATAAAACTGGTAATAGTCCTGTAAATGCATGAAAGAATTTGAGTGAAGCCATCAAGACCTAAAAATTTCTTTTGTAGAAAGGTTCTTAATTATGGATTCAGTTTTCCTAATAGGCAACTACCAAAAAAAAGTCTGATGTTAACCTCTTGAGTCAGTTTTAGTAGTTTATATTTTAAATGTGTTGCTGAATTTCCAAGCATTTAGGGTTTTTCTAGTTGTCTTCCAATTTTTGGTGGAATTTCACTTAGGTTGTGTGATTTCAGTCCTTCGAAATGTATTGATATTTATTTTATAAAGTTATGTTATTAGATACATACAATTTTTAATTTGTTAATTTTAAACTGTTAATTTATTGTAGTGGTCTTCCTTTTTTTTTTGGTATTTTTTCAGTGTATATGTGTAGTGTAAGGGATTGAACCCAGGAGTACTCTACCATTGAGCAATATCCCCAGTCCTTTTTGTATTTTATTTTGAGACAGGATCTAGAGAAGTTGCCTAGGATGGCCTCAAACTTGCAATCTTCTTGCCTTAGCCTTCTGAGTAGATGGTATTACAGATAGGAATCACCCTGCACAGCTACGCTGACCTTTTTAAGGTTATAAAATATTCTTGTTTATGTCTAATGATGTCACGCTTTAACATCTGTTTAGTCTGATACTAATAATGTTATACCAGGTTACTTTTGGTTGGTATTTACATAGCAAAACAATTAAAACTCCATCAACTGAAACTCCTAATGGGAAATTTTTAAAAAGGGACCTCAATCCTTATACAATAGTTAATTCTAGGAAAGGTAAAGCAACAAATCTTCCTATAAAAACAGAGGAATAGCTTCAAGAACTCCTTCAGAAAGTTTTCTTAAGCAGAACAAGAAATAGTATTCACCATAAAAATAAAACACAGATAAATTAGACTGGGTGAAAATTTAAAACTTTCATTTATCAAATGACAGCATTAGGAACTTCCATTCTGGTCAAAAGAAAGGAACACTGACCATATTTTTCCTGCCATCTGAATCAACAACAAAAAACTAGGCAAAATGCAGAAACAAGGGTTTCTATGACACAGGCTATCAAGCAACAGGAATACTGATTGCTGAGAGATGGGAAATGAATGAGCAGTGAGCCCTACAATTGCCAAGCTTACTGCCTGAGAGTTTCCAGATTGCCAGGAGGACTGCACCCAGCTGGAACCTGGTGGACTCCCTAAGTTGAGGAGTTGGAACTGGGACTCCAGGGAAAAAGACTTCTGCAGTTTTCAGAAATTCACAGAGGGCAAAAAGTTGTAAGAGACAGAAAATTCAATTATTTAGCAGAGAACTTATCAGCCCATACATGCAAGAAAACTATACAAGGGCCACGAAAGAACCACCCAAAAGATTAGAGGTAATGGTGCCTACACCTTCACATGAGAGTCAGAACACAGTACCTGTTTTCACCTACCAGCATAGGATAGTATCTCAGAAAATACATGCCACAGTAATGAGGAAGAGTTAGTTCCAAACTAAATACTGCTTTGGTCACACCCAACAATTCTCGAAAGCAAAATGCAAAAAGATCAGATTGTTGTTAAGCTACTTAGCTGTGTACCCTTCCCTCCCCTGCCAAATTTTTAAGAACGTTTAAAGGAATGTAAAAATATTTAGCACCCAATGAAGTGGAATTTTCTTATATTCTGTCAAAAGTAATTAGACATGCATTCAAGCAGGAAAAACATGACCCATAATGAGGAGAAAAATACAAACTGATCCAGAACTGACACAAACATTAGAATTAGCAAAGTTCAGTTATGATAATTGTAGTCCTCATGTTCAAAAAGTAATGTCTGAGATAAAAAATGCAAAATATACATCGAGACAAAAATATGAGATTAATGCAAGATTAGTCACTGCACAAGAAAGAATAATAAACATAAAGGTATAGCATCAGAAACTAGTATGAGGCACGTAGAAAAAAAAGAATTATATAAAATGAAGAGAATTAGTGACTTAAGGGACAATTTCAAGTAGCCTAATATACATGTAACTGAAGTCACTGAAAGGGAGAGGGAGGTGAAGAAAAAAAAAATTGAAGAAATAATGGCCAAAATTTTTTCAGTTTTGATTTGAAACAAAACCCATAAACTCATAATTCAAGAAGCTCAACAAACCTTAAGCACAAAAAACATGAAGAAAACCAAGGCACATCATAATCAAATTGCTCAAAACCTGATGGAGTCAGAGAAAACAGGCACTTGTATAAAGAAACAGTAAAATGATAAGAGGAGGTTTTTTCATTGGAAAAACTGAGCATTATAATTTAAAAAAAAAAAAAAAACCTGTTAACTCAGAAGTACATATACAGCCAAAATATCCTCTAAAAAAGGAATGCAAAAATAAAGGCTTTTTCAGACACACACGCTGAATGGAGTAATCTTCAGCAGACCCTCAGCTCACTATAAGAAATATTAAAGGAAGTTCTACAAGCAAAAGGAAATAAGCATCAGATGGATCTATATAAAAGAATGAAGAGCATCAAAACAGTAACCACATCGGTATCCTAGCTATCAACCAACCAAACCCCAGCTATGGCTGAACCTTTTCAGCAGATGTGCCTGGCTTCCATCTGACCCAGATATCTGAGTAATTATTAACTGTTATATATTTTAAAAAATAGAATAAAAACATTAAGAGAGTAAAAAGGCAAGCCAAAGATTAAGAGATAAATATATACACACATGTCATTCAAATGCATATCTAAGGAAATCCTCCAAATCAAGAAAAGCAATCCCAATCAAAAACTAGTCAAAGACTTGAACTTGTACTTCATAAGAGAATATTACAACAGGCAATAAGCATATGACAAGATGCTCAACACCATTAGTCAGGAGGGAGCTGGCACAACATGGGAGAAAGGTGCAACATTACCAATTATTGATTAATGTAAAAGAAAAATTACATGCCATTAGCAGAAGGACAAATTCATTCAACCACTTTGGCAAATTGTTTGGCCCTAGCCAATAAAGCTAAACATACAACTACCCTATGACCTAGCATATGTAATAATGAGTATTAATGTCACAAAATACTGTAAAATATGTGCAAAAGAAAGTTTACAGCAGCTTTATTCACAACAGGCCAACCTAAAAATAACCCAAATGACCAACAGCAGAATATTAAAATTATATACATAATCTCAAAACTAAATTCTATAGAACAATAACAATGAAACAATTTTCAACTACATATGATATGGATAGATCTCACAAAATAATTTTGTGCCCTAGAAATCACATAACTAAGAATACAAATGATATGATTTCATTTATATAAAGTTCTGGGAACAGGCAAAGTAAATTTATGATGATGGAAACCAGAAAAGGGGTTATCACTGGGGAGCAGGGAAGGCTTAAAAGCTTTGTGAGGTGAAGATGTTCTGTATATTAATCTGTGTGGAGGTTACACAGATGTGCTGGAGTCTGTGTGCATGCATGTTTATGTACGTAAAAACTTCATCAAACTTTGCATTTAAGATTTATATATTGTAATTATATTACAATGTCAATAAAAAGTAAACAAAATGAAAAAGTTGAAAAAAATTCAATGAAAGTGAAAGGGAGCGTTGTGGAAAGATTATCTCATACACTGCCAATGGGAGAGCAGACTGGGCCAACTTTTATGACAGATATTTGGCAGCATCTATCAATATTATAAACACACATACCCTTTAACCCAGCAAATCCATTTCTAGGAATCCATCCTTAGAAATACTTGGGTAAGTTTTTTATGTACAAAGGCAATAATGGCCACTTTTTACTAGTTAAAGACTCATAAGAACTTAACTAGTTAAAACAACAAAAAGGCAGGACATCTGTAAACTTCCTACACATCTTTAAAGAATGAGGTTTGTGATCAGGATGGTGGCTCATGCCTGTAATCCCAGGTACTTGGGAGGCTGAGGAAGGAGGGTTACAAGTTCAAGGCTAGTCTAGACCCTGAACAAAAAGGGCTCAGGGTATGGCTCAGTGGCAGAGTGTTTGCCTATTATGATCAAGGCCCTGGGTTTAATCTACAGTATTACATTAAAACAATAATGATAATAATAAAGAGGTTTGTTATATATTAATATTGGATGATCTCCAAGTAAAAATTTCAATGTCTAAAAAACAAAATGCATTAGTGTCAAAAATGGAAGGAGAAAAAAAAAAAAAAAAGACCATATCCTTCATTTATGTCCTATACAAATGGAGGCTCTCTGGAAAAATAAACTGGGTTGCCTCTGAGAAAGAAGATTAGCTGGGAGACAAATATTAAAAGGACTTGTTTACTATGTCTTCACTATATTTTTTATAAAAAGTAAAAAAAAAAGAGTTACTAAAGCAAAGATTTCAGAATTGGGAATGGAGAGATTTTAAGAGTTTGGTTTTTGCTCCTTTGTATAACATACATATTCTCAGTTAAAATGAGCACTGAGAATATCAACAATATTAAAAAACTTACCCATACTGTGTCGTTGTCAATACTTCTCCTCTCTTTTCCCTTTCAAGTTTTAACTTTTTCTTCCTTTCAATGTTAGCCAGAGTTGGGTAATTTCTAGAAAATAAAAGAAGTTAATCATGAAAGTGTTTTTTGAGTATAACTTTAAGCAACCAAGTAACTACTGAATTTAGAAGTTTTTAATGACTAAAAGAAATCAATAAAAATCTTCAATTACTTCTAGAATTTTTTAAAGAGGGAAGAATCTAAACTGTAACTATGTTACTCAAGGCACAGACCAGCTGCTGATCCACCAACTTTGCTACCAGTCTACAACTAGGTAAGAAGCTTATGCTAGAATTTTTTTTAAAGTATATAACGTGCTCAAACTGATCTAATATGTCTACTTAGCATGTACCTACAATTACTTAAGAAAAAATTTAAGTCTATTCAGTTACTTATGCAAATATATGCTAGATACACTTAAAGTTACCAAAATAAGTGATAGTTCTCAAAAAATTGTCTCTCAGGAAGAACAGGAAAAGCTCAAGAACAGCTGTAACATAAGACAAAATATAATAAGTATCCAAAAGACTATAAAGATTTGGTGGGTGGGGGCTGGGGAAATAGCTCTGTTGGTAGATGCACAAGGCCCTGGGTTCAATCTCCAGCACCCCCCGCCCCCCTCCCCCCCACACACAAAGATTTGGTGGGGGGAAGGAAAGATTATATCAAAATGCAGAAATCCAGGAAGAAAGGAATTTGAAGGAAATTGGTCTTAAATGCTGTTAAGAAATAGCAACCATAAGGGAGCTTCAGAGTGTTCTAAGTAGAACAAACAACATAAACAAATCAAGACCTCAGAAAGTCCAAAAGATACCCAGGGAATAACTTTCTATGAAACTTAAAATAGTTACAGGCAGTCAGACTGGAAAGGGAGGTTCAGGCCAAAAGTTTATACTTAAGTCAGAAGGTGATGAAAAGCTGCAGAAAGTTATGAACTCATGTTTGAGGCTGTGATTAAGATACAATCTGACAGCAATATGCAAGATGAATCGTTTTCTTTGTTTCCTGGCACAGCTATGTGGAGATACAGGCCTCAAACTCTGATGCTGAAGAAGATAGAGCACTGAAATATTAAAAAACACAAAAGAAGGGGAACACAGACTGCTCTCACCACACAGCCTGGCCACGATAAGGGTAAATTTTGAGAAACGTTAACAAATTGTGTTCTGCCATTGTTTCTAGAACAATTCATCTTTTTCTTCTTAACATCTGCATGACTAACTTGAGTAGCACAGACAATAAAATATAAGGCCTAGAGGTTAGCCATACTGGAAGATGGGAATGGAAATGACACTGGTAGGTGGTGAAGTAATCAGAAAAAAGGTGATGAATTTCAATAAGGGCAGTACAAAGCAATACATCCAGCCAAGAAAAATAACCTCCATAAATAAAAGATGATGAATGTCCAAGATATAAAAAAACCTAAGAGGAAAAGATCAAGGTCACAGGAGATAAAAATCTGATAGCAAGTCAGCAATATATGACTATACTTTTAGAAAACACACATAATCTAAGGTTATTTGAAGTGGACTCTGGCTCTTGTTCAAATGCAAACTCTTCTTCCCATAATACTCAAAAATGGTCAGTATTCTCAAGGCACTGTGTCAGTTCAGTTGAAAAGGATCATTAAGGAAAAATAAAACTTGGAAGAGATTCAGAAGAGACTCCAAGTTGATTAAGAGGGTGAAAAAATAAAACCTCTGAAGAAAGATGAAAGAAACTATTTACAGCCTCTAAAAGATGAGAAGTGACAATAAAATAGTCTTACAGGGAGGATGGTAGCCAGCTGTTCTCAATCTGAAGACAGAATATGCAGATGCAGAAATGATGAGAAAAACAGTGATGATTTTCACAGGTCCCACAGTTGTTAGATAGGGAACTCAGAGATCCTCAACCCTGCCACAATTCTCAAGTTCTCTTATTTGTCCTTATGGTGTTTCCTCGCTATTTTTGTTCTAAGTGTTGCAGATGGTTAACATGGTGGGCCACAGAGCACACAATACAATTTGTATCGCAATGCATCTTGTACAGGTAAGCAGATGCTAAGTATGTGCTTATCAATGGAAAAGAATTTAAACATTTGTTGCAGAAAGTGGATTCAAAAGATATAAGAATTACTTAAATGAGACTAATTAAAGATTCTATGGAAACTTGCCAGTAGAAGGCTTTCAAAAACAGCTAACTTTCTTGCTCTGGCAGATTAAAATATCATATTCCTAAAGGTAAAGAATCTTTTAAATATCCCTTCCAGAGTTATAAGATTCTATTTTTCAGTGCTGAAAAGAATCAAATCCTCTTCCAAAATTTGTACCATTCTTATCTATACAGAACCCAGAGACTAAAAATTAGGGAATATAAAGATACTAGAAAACAAAATTATCACAAAGGAAGGAAACCAGAAACTCAAGACCCAGCCACATACACCAACAACAACCAGGAAGCCCTACTCCACCAAAATAAAACAGATATAAGAATAAGGAAAAGTAAAGGATATGATATAGTTCAGATTCTTGAAGATACAAAATAACAAAGACACTACTAAAAAAAATCATAAATTATGCTTTAGATTACAGAATTATAAAACTTGCTCCAATATCTCCTGTTAGAGAATGTTACAAAGTTATAAAGATGCAACAAGGGATATTTTCAGTTTCCCTATATTTTTATCTGCTAAAATAACTATTTCTCCCTTGGCTTCCTCTATCTTTCCTCAATATCCCAAGAACTGGTCTTGACATCAAATGCTCCTCTTCTTTTTCCCTCTTTCACTTCTTACATCCTCTTTGACATCCCCCTTGCCTATACCTTAAGTCTCTGATGACAATCCTTACGTACTAAATCCTTACTAACTCATAAATGGGCAAAACTGTACCAATCATTATTTCAGCTCTTATCATTCAAGTCACATTATGCTCTTCAACTTTTTCCTTATTCTCAAATTACTACCCACTCATTGACTTTTCTTCTAGGCTTATTCTCTGTAAAATACAATCCCTCTTTACTCTCACTGAAACACACTGCTTCAACGTAAGATATGATTGTGTTTCTATTTCAAAGACTTTCTGAACTTCAAAAAGATGTAACTTTATTAAAGAGCAAATCGCCTCTGTTGGAATTTTGCATAAACTAGGGACATAAAAGGATCTTCTGGGCCACAGTGAGTACTAAAATAAAATTACAATTACTCCACCTAGTGGACTCCCTATCCGCTGTGAAATATATGACACTGCTTCCAAAAAAGAAAGATTTTAGAAACAAACTTTAGAAATAAATCTCTACCACTCAGTATCACCTAATGCCAAATCATACATCTGTACCTCACAGATCAGGAATTAAGAAAGAATTATCTTTTCCCCAAAAGGCATATATTGTTTTGTAAGCTATTAGAGGGAAGATTTGTGGTTTTTAAATACAGTGGGCCACTGAGTTTGGCTAATATGAAAAAAATAATGATGGATAAAGACAAAGATGTGTGTTCTTTAAAGACAAAGGAGCAATAAACAAAGCAAATTATAGAGTTTCTTCCAACTTTAAAAGTTCTACTCTGGGAAATATTCTGCAAGTTTTTCTAATATAGCAACTACACGAAGACTTTATCTTTCCTGCATGTCAAAAAGTACAGTGTGTTCCTCAGAAAAAATGTAGCTTTCACAAGAAAGATAAAATTCTAAAAAATAGAATTATTCTGACATACCAATGTAGAATTCACTCTTTTTAGGAGTTCAAGTAACATTTTTTTTAGAAGTTGAAAATAACATAAACCTAGAAAGTATGTTTTCATAATAGACTTTTTTTTTAATTAGGTGGGTGTGGTGGTGCATTCTGTCCAGTAATCCCAGCAACTGAGGAAGGCTGAGGCAGGAGGATCACCAGTTTGAGGACAGCCTGAAACTTAGCAAGAAACTTAGTGAGATCTTGTCTCAAAATAAAAACTGAAAATTTTTATTGGGAATGTAGCTCAGTGGTAAGGTACCCCAGGGTTAAATTCCTGGTACCAGAAACAAAAAACAAACAAATAAAACTGCCGGTGGGGAGAGTATTAGTGTATTTTTGAGAAATCTATCAGGCATACCAAAAGGAGAGAAATATTTTCCATATTTTCTATTAATGAGGCATAATGTGAATGTTTCAGAATATACTATGAGCAAGAATTTGGGAAATAAGATATGGAAGAACATTAGATGAATTTGCCAAGTGTAAAAAGATAATATCAGAGCAATTTTTTGTTGTTGTTTTGTTTTGGTACTGGGGATTGAATCCAAGGACATTAACCACTCAATCTTTTTTTTTTTTTGTATTTTATTTAGAGGCAGGGTTTCACTGAGTTGCTTAGGGCCTCACAAGTTGCTGAGGCTGCCTTTGAATTCACAATCCTCCAGCTTCAGCCTCCTGAGCCTCTGGGATTACAGATGTGTGCTACCATACTGGGCCAGAGCACTTATGGACACAGCTACATCACAGGAACAAATACACCTCATCCAAAATTGTCACCCTCACCCAATTTCCTCATTCTGTTTAAACATCTCTAAAATTCACAAATCTATAACTCTATTTTTTTTTTTTTAAAATATTTATTTATTTATTTTTAGTTCTCGGCGGACACAACATCTTTGTTGGTATGTGGTGCTGAGTATCGAACCCGGGCCGCACGCATGCCAGGCGAGCGCGCTACCGCTTGAGCCACATCCCCAGCCCTATAACTCTATTTTTCACTCAATACACTGCCCATTCCTTTTACAAGGCACTTCTGATTTGGTCAGTGTACCCTTAGCCCACATTCTAGAAACTAGAGCTAAATATCTCCTCAACCTCCACCTGTCTTTCATAAAAAGAATCCACCAATAAGCATGGTAAACATCCCTTTATTCAGAATTTACTTCCAAATTTCATAACAGCTTTGAAATTCAAAAAGCTTCAAACTGTGCCACCAATTCCAAGGCAAACATTGCGAACTGTATGTTCTCCCCTCTTCCTTAACCATTTTGTTTGGGGACATCCCATCAATTCCACTGCCACTGAAGGTGGCAAAGCATCCTACTTCTAGCCAATGA